GATGTGGACCATGAAAACAGATGAAATCCTCTCCTCTTCTACCACACAAAGCATCCCTCAAATACAGTCTAATGCAGGAGGGTCATTCCCCAGTGACCTGTCCTGCTGGTGAGGTGCCCAAAGGCCAAGAGAGAGACCAGAGGACAGGCTGAGGCTTGCACCAAAGAGAATGGCCATACCCCGAGATGTCCAATGCCACTTTCCTCAGAACTCAGTCCAAACTGGGGTGGCCTGTGAGCTCTCCTGTAGGCTGGGGCCCTTCTGAGATGTCCCACTTGGTAGACGACAGGGATGGCAGCATCTGACTTGAACTGGGGTCGATCACTGAGCGCCTTTTTAAAAAGCCCGTAAGTCGCTCCCTGGACTTCCTCTCTGCTGCCCTCCTCCTCCGAGATCACAGCCCGTGCCACTCTGGGTGGGTAGCTGGCTCTTTCTTCACACAGCTAGTGGGCTTTCGTGCGAGAAATGACACGGTTGTGAATCATGCTGCCTTCCAAATTACCTGGAAAGGCGGTTCTCCTTTTTGCTGCTTCTGCACCAGTTACATCAGCATAAACGCCCAAAAATGGTGACTTTGAAGCTAAGAGGCGATAAGACGGGGTGCTGCTTCTGGGGGGTCCCACTGTGAAGACGTTCACAGTGATGGGCCTGACTGCTGATCTCAGAGGTTCTGCTTCTGAGGAAGAGGCTGTGGATGGAGGCCCTTCCTCCTCCTCTCCCTGCATCTGGGGTGGCCAGCTGAAGCCCTGCCTGCGGGGAGCCGGGGAGCACTCTCCAGACGCTGTGGATCACACTGAGGGTGAGGCTCCAGCTCTGGTGAGCGACACTAGCACTGAATTGCCACTTCACTCCTGCTCTAACCTAGGGATCCTAGGGAGACTGAGGGGACAGAGGAAGGACACAGAGGGACACTGGTCCAGCTGTCCACTCTGACCCTGATTAACTTTCTATGACATGGAATCCCTCAAACACTTTTCTGCTCCTTAGGCCTCTTGAGACAGGCAGGAAACTGAGGACAGAGAACATCCTCCGGTCTGAGTTTGGCTGCTGAAGCTGAGCAGCTGAGGCAGGAAGGCTTTGGGCAGATCCAGGGTGCATCCTGCTGATCATACACGAGTCTCCAAGCCCTGCTACAGCAATGATTACCAGCAGTGTGCTCGTTCCTGCCCACCACAGGCTGCCACGGGCCAGCTCCCATGCTGAAACCTGACGTTCACCATCTCACTTGACCAAGACTCTAACACACCTGGGAGGGAGGCTCCTTTTCTTGTTCTTCCTTTATGGATAAGAAAACTGAGGCCCAGAGAGGCTGGGTCATTTGCTTGAGGTCAGCGAACCATGAAGGAGCAGAGCTGGGCCTGGCCTGGCCTGTGCAAGCCAAAGCTCATGCTCTTAGCCACCAGGCCGTACCACCACAGAGGGGGAATGCTACCATAAAGGGGTGCTAATAAAAAAGCAGACTGCCGAGAGTTACATTCACAGCAAGTGGATAAGACCTAAAAAAAAGACCTCAAAGGACAAGATGACATACTAGGGACACGCCTGCCCCTGGGAAAGGGAGTTCAGCCTCACAAAAAGGCTTAGGTAAACTGTGAGGACAGGCAAGTGACGGTGGCAGTGAGCGGCAGAATCTGCAGGGTTTTCTCTGTGAACACAGCCTGCAAGGCAGATGGAGACCTCATTAGCCACACTGCGTGGGTCCAGGGAGGTTAACTCCTCACCCAACATTCCTCACAGGGAAGGGCCAGGGCCAGGATTCAGGCCTGGGTCTAGCAGCCATTGTTTAGAGCATCTATACTCACTCTTCGGGGACAGATGTCCTTTCAGTCTTTTTGGAGGCAATCCCTGAGTGTTTTAAATGCAGGTTGGGAGCCAGCTGTGCTTAGGAGTGAGGGGTCAATGTGTGGCCCCTCCAGGGCTGCCCACCATCAGCAAGGAACACGGAGAGGACCCCCACCCTGTGGATGCTCTGTGCCGAGCTCTTTGGCAGCTGGCAGCTGCCTGCCTCACAGGCAGCTCGTGAGTGGCATCTTCTGGGCAGGGGATGCAGCAGCGCCCCCCTCCCAGGGTCCAGCGGGAAGCACTGAGCATGTGTCCCGCATTCCATGCTGGGGAAATCAGGGTCACATTTTTTCTTAAACAACAAGTAACTGGATCTCTAGCTAATGGAATGATTTCTATTTCAGTGCCAAGAATATTAATTTGACACCTGCAAATTCTTTTGACAAAAGGGGGATAATGTCTATAAGGAGCGGATGATACTGAGGAAACAGCCACTTCGCCTGAATAACAGAAAAGCAGAGACAACAGAGGATGCCAGAAAGGTGTGGCCTACTGAGCTGTCACTGGGGAACAACAGAAGACGAGGCATGCCGGGGAGGCCACGTGCCAGTGGGACTGCGGAAGACAGCAGCGGGGGCAGAGTGAGGTTTCTGAGCTCTGCCTTCCCTGTGCCCAGCTCTTGCATCACTAAAGCTCGTGTGTGTGATGTCCCCTGAGGCCCGTGGCTCTCTGCCCCAGGGAAGAGCATGTGGGTTTAGAACAACTCTACCCGAGAGAAGGACCTTTGCAACAGAGGTGACAGGTTGAGTGTCCCAAATATACAAAGAGCTTCTACAAATCAATGAGACAACGGAACAAAGGGTTTGAGGGCTGAATACACATGTATCACCACACCAGACTGAGAACTCTGCTCAAGGACTTTGGATCATGGGGAAAAAAAAAGGCCAAAGACCTTTCTGGAGAAATCAGGAGGGGATGGGAATGGAAATGCAACTCAACTCCAGCGCCCCACCTCCTCAGCCAGCCCTGCACTGGCTCCCAGGCCTGGTAGTTCAACAATGAAGCAGACAGCTTTGGAGTCAAATGGGTCTGGCTTTGCATGTAGGTGCCCCCACCTCCTAGCTGTATGTAAATTACTTAACCTTCCTGGCCTTTGTTTTCTGAGCTGTGAAATGGAAATAACAGAAGTCTCCTACAAAATTGGTTTGATAGCTCTCTAGCTACTACAACAGAAGGAACTAACATGGTTTCTGAACTTCAGCGAGCTCTGATTTGAGATTAGAGTTGTGTTTGGAAATATCTGGAAAAAACTCAACAAAAAAAACCACTTCCTGGATATTCTACAAAGGAAGTTCCAGCAGCAGAGGACTGTCTTGTGCATGACTGTACTCCCAGTGCCAAGTACATAGTGCCTCATCAAGGTCAAAGAGACAGCGAAAGGGCCATCTGGAAATGGGACTCTGGTAAAGAACCAGGATGCAGCAGAAGCATGACTCACCAGTGGTTAGCAAGGTCCCCAAATCCCTCCTCTAGAGGGATGCGAAAGAGGGACTCTTCCCTCCTGTCACAGCACTCCCTCAATTGCCCCCAAAAGCAGCCTTAATCGTCTCCTCACGGGGCCCACAAGATGTGCCCCAAAGCCCTGACAACATTTGGCACTTCAGCAAATCGAGTTTTCCCAGCCGCAACCTGAAGACAGCAGTTTAATGGGCTGCATCTCCTGGCGCTCCCGCTAAATGCACACGTACACAAAAGGCAATTTCAAGCAAAGAAAGCTGGATGGGATTAAACAACTCAATTTAAAGGACTGAAGACTCAGCTGCTTCCAGCGAAGCCTGAGGAAGGCACCAATCAGCAGAGCTTTCCTCTTCTTTTCTGTTCTGAAAAGAGGGCCAGCTAAGCAGTGAGTCACGCCCAGCTCGCAGGCAGAACTGGGCCAAGCCCACCTGGGCCCAGCACGCAGGGGGCGGCGCAGGGGGAGCAAGGGGGAGTGGACAGGCAGGAGGGGCTGGCACTCATACACCATCTGTTCGGGAATTTTCTGGAACTGCAGCGAACCTCAGAGGACCTATAGCGGACACCTGCCTATATGCTTCTCTTTTCAGCCCACATTTAGTAAAGCAAATCCAGGCTGCAGGACAGGCTGGGTCCAAGCCCAGGGAAGACCTCATTCCTGTGAAACTGAGAGCAGTGACCTCTCCCGTGACCCTTGTCTACTCCTGTGGTCCTACTGGGCAGCATGGGTAGGCCTGTGGACACGGCTCTGCCACCTCCCGCAGTGCCTTAGTGCTGAGTGGGAAGGAGAGGGGTGCGTCAGGCTTGGAGCACCAGCATCTCAACCACCAGAATCAACATCTGGCCCGTGAGCTGCGGTGGCTGGAGGAAAGGCTGCCACCCTTGCAAATGGGAGAACTCAGTTGCAACACCTGTCCCCTGGCTGAGAGGCAGGGGAACCCCAAAAGAATTATTCTGCCCAGCTCTGGGACAGATGCTGCTGAGAACAGTGGGGAAATGGTGAGTGACTGCAGGAGACGCTCCCCTCAAGGACAGGAAGCCCTGGGGTGCCCTGTCTCCTACCCCAGGCCAGCATCTGCTTGCTGACTCTCTTGGGGTTACTTTTCCAACCCAGGTCAGCCACTTTCCTTCACACCAGTGGCTCTTGGTGATCCTAATGCAGCATGGTTTAAGGAGTCAATTTCAAACTGGAGGTCACAGTGGATTTTAACTGAAAAAAACAACAACTAGTACTAAACAAACACTCACCATGTGCGCAGCACAGCACTCGACATTATAAATGGGTCATTTGGTTCTCATAATGATACTGCTAGGTCCTGCTGCTCCCCTCCTGGGACGGAGAAGGAAACCTATATGCAGAGATGCAAGAGTCTGCCTCAAGCAGGGCAGCAGGACAGGACAGACCTTCCTCTCACTGAGCCTGAGCCCAAAACTGTGCTCCCCCAATCTCAACACTTTTGCAGGGTCTGCAGACCCCTGTCCTCACTGGCAGTCTATCCCAGGCGCTCTGGAGGAGCCTGCAGAAGTGTCCTGGCTCCCCAAACTCACAGCACTGGATACACTTTTATCTCTAGGGCAATTGTGTGATGTTAAGAGTACAGCGGGAACCAAACAAGCCATCCTCAGTGACGGGACCCCACAAGTCACCGAACAGGGAGCCGACAGCCAGTGCTCCATAGGACAGGATGCTGTTGGTGACCTACCTCATCAGATTCATCCGACAGGGTCTGAAGTAGGATGGGGAAGAGGCTGTCTGTGTGCCGGAACATCTGGAGAGCAGAGAAGGGGGCGCTGATGAGTGGTGAGACAGAGTTCCCTTTAGGAAAGCATCCTGGGGGGCTGCTTGGACCACGTCCCTCCCTGGAAGATACCATGGACCCCACAGCATCTGCTAATGCCTCTGCTTGCCAGGTTCCTCCAGAATGGGAATGACTTGAGGCCCTGCCATTGTGAGCAGGCCAACGTGGTTCTGGAAGAAGCTGCCTGGCATGGAGGGGTCTCCTCAGGGGCTGGGCCTGGGATTTACCTTGCGGGGAGTCTTGATGTAGAGGTGGTAAAGCCACTTCAGAACTGCAATTCGGGTCATCATCCCAATTGTCATGTCACTGAGATGGCAGTTTAGGACCTGCACGATCCCGTCGAGGTTCAGGGTCACTGGGGCCCTGTCAGTACTGTGGGCAAGAACAGGAGAGAGAGCCGGATGAAGCCCCATGATACCCACAGCGCCCCCTGGGCCTCAACTCAGAACCACATGCTCCTGCCCTGCTGCCCTGGGGTGCATGCTCAAGCAGACAACAGCAGATTCTCTGCAGATCCTGTCTCTCCCAGCCCAGTCTGGTAGCTCAATGGAGGCCTTGCTTCTCTCTCTCTGCTTCCTTCCACCCTCTGAAAAGGAGTTTGGAGCCTGTGGCTAGGTAGGAATTATGCTACCTCTGTGTCCAGCACCAGCCTGGCTTGCACAGTGCCTCAGAACTGACCAGCCAGATGTCTGGGCTAAAAGGCTGTTTGGAGTCTTTGGGGAATTAAGTGAGACCCTCCACTGGTGATAGACACCACCATGTCCAGACAGTACAGAGGAGCACTCTGCAACACCCAGGCCACTAAGGAATGCTTGTCACATGAGAACAGGATCTGTGGCTTTTTGCTGCGCATGCCCTTGGCAGGGCTAGTCTAGCAGAGAACCCTTATGCCTTCAAAGTGGAAATGCTTTCTGTTGAGTCAAAGAGGCCACAGAGCCTCTGCCTAGGAGAACGGGAGACTGTTGAGAATGTGTGGATGCCCCCAAGAGGCACAGGAAATGTCCCAGCTCCTGAGGGCTTGAGCTTTGCTGGTCTCTCAGAGAGAAGACATAGGAAGCAGCCAGAGGAGCTGGGTACTGACAGGACAGTGTCAGCTCTCTGCCCAAAGCCTGGCTCTCTGGCTGAGACTGGGTTTTGGGGGTGGGGACACGTGACACGATATCGATGGGGCAGGCTATGTTCCCTGAGGACAAGACCAGCTGGTTCTGTTGCCCGCCAGTATAAAATAGTCCTTGGTGGCACTTCCAGGCTGCTTAATTATTCATTTGGATCAGCAGCTCGATGGCTGTGCTGCCCTCACTCGCCTGCGGCCTCTCTGAAGCTCATGTGATGTGAATTCCTACAGGGCGCCACTCTGAGCTCTGGAACTGCTAGGCGGAACTGCTATTTAATATGGCTTGATGGCCCCCCGGTGTCTGCTTAGGGGAGAGTGTGGGCACGTCCATCCTCAAGGGGCCAGAAGATCTAGGCTTGTGTGACAGTGACAGAGCCCAGAGAGGAGCTGGGGGTGGATGGGGGAATTGTGATTTCCCCAGGAGTCACATGGCTGGAAAATCCTGGTGTCTTCTGAGGACATCAAAACAACTAAATGCTTTGGCAGCCTACGACACTGGAAAGCAAAGCGCAGACAGGTCCAGGCGGCCGACGTGGCCCCCACAAGCCTTTACCGGCTCTCAGGCTCGCTGTCCAACAAAAACACTGAGCAAGCCACGAATGAGATTCCACATTCTCCAGTTTTAAATTGAAAAGAAAGAAATAATTGAAGTTAATTTAAATATTTTAATTGACCCAATATATCCAAAATATCATTAGCATTTCAACACGTAATCAATATGATGGACATAAAGATTACTAATGAGATACTTTACATTCCTGTACCCTAACCTTCGAAATCCACTGTGCCTTTTCTGCTTACAGCAGGCTGCAGCTCAGGTGCTTGGAGCCGTGTGGCTGTCGCAGCAGTCCAAACCCCGACTTCCTCAGTGGTTCCTTATCAGCCATGGCTCTCACAATCTCCTAGAGACTCTTCCTTCTGCCTATGGCCAGCACTTCCTGTCTGATCTCCAGGTCTCTCTTTCCCGTCTTGGCCGCCCTCCTGCAGAGGTCTTCTGGTGTGCTCCCTTTGGCTGGCTCTTCTCTGGAGCAGCTCTGTCTCAGCCGAAGAGCAGACACCCACTGCAGCCCTGGGCCTTATGTGAACGACGCAGGCGGATGGTGAGGGGAGACCGCCCCACCCTGGCCTGTCTTTACTCTGTGCCCTGAGGTCTGCAGTGGGAGTCGCAGGGCTCTCAGGCTGCTGCATGGGCTCAGGATATCACGAGTAGCCTGCGCATGGCATATAACTGCCATAGCTCAGCTGATCCAGACCCTCAGAGGCCCTGCCCTACAGCTGCGGAAGGAAGGAAGGCTGCGCCAAGGCCAAGTCCCCAGCTTCGAGCCCAGGGGTGCATAAGCCTCGGAAAGGGGAGTAACTGCTCTGACAACATGACCACGACAGTTCTCAATGTGATCACGGCCAGCACCCTGCTGAGTGCTTTACCTGCCAACTTCACGTCATTACCTCAGCAGCCCCATGACCCACGCTGTGTTATTTGTATTTTGGAGATGAGAAGCACAGAGACATTAAGTGACCTGGCCATGGTTACACAGCCAAGAAGCAGTGGTGCCTGCAATCTGAATCTGAGCAGTGTGACTCTGATGTGGTCACACCCACCCCACGGCACTGCCTTCTAGCAGCGGGATGGGCTCAGCATGGTCCATGGTGGCATCGCCTCCATCTCCTGGCACAGTCAGCAGAACTGGCAGCCGCAGGTATCAGTGGAAGGCTGTTTCTGCACACTTGCTAGTGTACCTTCCTTCCTTCCTTGGTACTGGAGGCTGAACCCATGGACTCTACACCGAGCCTCATCCCTAGCCCTTTTGACTTTGAAATGGGTTTCACCAAGTTGCTAAGGTGCCTGGGCTGGGCTCAAACTTGTGATCCCCCTGCCTTGGTCTCCCAGAGTGCTAGGATTACAGGTGTGCACCACTATCCCAGGAGACACATACCTTGTCAGAGATATGTATATGGAGAAAGAGGCCACCTGGCCAGGCCTGACGGTGACCTGTCGAGGACACTGCCACATCCCGTGACAACAGGCTGGCTGCTCCTTCTGAAGACTGAGCCCTTACTCTAATTCACATGAGTCCTGAATGCTTCTGGGCAGCCCTAGAGGGATCTCCTTCAGAGGCCTTATCACAGCCCTAAGAAGGGACGGATTTCATGGCCAGTGTGTGAACTGGCAGCACCATGTGCGATGACATTCTCCAACTTCCCCTGCAGCAAATGCTGATGAGAGCAAACCTCCCCAGATACCAGTGTCCTCCAACTGCTGGTGAGGCAGGTGCCAGCTTCAGCCACCAAGAACCTGGTAAGTAAGAGGGATCTCATGGTTCGTGTAACCTGATCCTCCCACACAGCTGAACAAACCAAGGTCCGGAGACAGTGCGGCTGTCCTAAGCCTCGGGCCAAGTGCCGAAAGCACGTTCCTTCCCTTGGCTGGAGGTGGCCTCCCTGTGTCTCTCTTCCTCCAGTTGGCAGAAGATGAAGGTCACGGGAGCAGGTGCATACTGGGCACCGCGGAGACCGACCTCAGTGCCTGCAAAAAGGTTGGATCCAAGCTGCACCGGATCCCAGCTGCTCTGCTGGGTGGGGCTGGCTGCTGAGCCCTGTGCACGCTCGGGAGGAGCTGAAGCACCTGGCACAGTGAGCTCAGGTCCCCTCTGCTGGGCTGAAGCGGCTGAGATGTGGCACCTTCTGCCCTGGGTGATTTTACTCAACAAGAATAGAAGGGAGCTCGCGCAGTTTATAATACATTTACACACTGGTTCCAAAAAGTCTAGACGGGTCACTCCTGGGGGCTTCTGAGTTATTTCAAGGTGTCTGCAAAACCCCATTTTCACAGAGTATTTTCTCATAAAGCATCTCGTAACGAATGTCTTACACATATATAAGAAGTATACTTTCCAAGTGCATGGCGCTGCCACAGCTATTAAAATACAGACCTACTGAATAATGCTTCTGATACTACCCATAAATAATAATACATTCCAGGGGTGCTCGTTGGGAGACAACACTTTATTTCAGTAATATCTAACTTTTTATGGTACTCATATTCCATCTCTAATCAAGCGAGAAGGTAAATCTAAAAATAGAGTAGTTTCTGAATTCCGAGTTGCCTTTTTTATACTTTTTTTTTAAATCAGCAGTTGCTAAGGGCTGGGCGGCAGTGATTTCTAGTTTTCTCCTTTTAGAGCAGCCAGTTATCACCAGAACTGTACCAGAGGCCACCCAGGACACCACACAAACCTAGGTGCCAGAGGGAAGGGTGTTCACATGGCAACGCCTGTCAAATGAGGTAGGGAGGCTAACACGACACTTCTAGAAGTCTCCAAATGTGACTGAGTTAAATGCAGGGAATCTGGAGCCAGATACCTCCAGCTTGAGTTCCAACTTGGTCACTAACTGCTGAGTGGCTCTGAGCAGTAAGTTAGCCTCTCTGGTCTGTCTCCTCGTTTGTACAGTGGGGATGATAAGGAGGTTCTCGTGTCATCGGTGTGACTCTAAACTGTGTAAAGTGCTTCCTGCATGCCAGGTACTGTACCATGCTCTTCACACATTTCAACTCATCTACACTCTGTAGCCTGATGAGGGCCGGGCCCATTACACCCAGTTTACAGGCATGGCAGCGAGGAGATGACTCACCCTGGGCTCCCCAGCAGGCCCAGGAAAGGAAGGGCCTAGTGTGCACAGGCAGAGGGGGCGAGTCCTCTGCCCACCCCGCCTCTCACACTTCATCAGAGCTACTTCTGCTGTCCACACAGACTGACCCCGTTGTCCCTTGCTTGCCAGTGGCTCACTCGATGGCTAAGCCTGGGCCTGGTGCTTTCTTTCCCTGCACTCCCAGAAAGCAGGCAGAGGCACGAGAGGGAGCTGATGTCCTGTCAGGGATTTCTCCTGTGGTGTAGTTCAAGCGCGGAATCTTTTTGAAGGGTCTGAAGCTTCTACCACTCTCTCCCATGGCCAATGACCATTAAGAGGCTCAGGACTATCTCCATCTCTGGCAATTACTGCTAAGCAATAATGTCTTCTGAGCCAGGCACGGTGGCACACACCCTGGAGGCTGAGTGGGAGGGTTGCTGTGAGTTCGAGGCTAGCCTCGGCTACACAAAGAGTTCAAGGGCAGTTTGGACTATATAGCAAGACCCTGTCTTAAAAAAAATGAGAATGTTTCTGCTCTACATTAGTCTCCCTACAGCTGCTGTCCCGGGAACACTGCAGGTGGGCTGTTTCCCCTGGATGATGCCCTCCTGTCCAAGCCCAGTCTCCCTTCAGCAGCACTAGAGGAGGTAGGCGGTAGCCAAGGCTGCCTGGCTGTCGGGCTGTTCTCTTTGGCATGGTCAGGGACTCAGGTCATCTGAGAGATGATCTGTTCCTTTTTTTTTTTTTTCTTTTTCCTCTTTTTAATATTAGATGGGGCCAATTCAGCACTGGCTCCTGAATGACAGGCAGAAATTCAAACTTGGTTCCAGCTGGCAGGTTCCCTGCCTGAAGACAGGAACCAAGGCCTCTAGGTGGCCTTTTCCAGTAGTGCAGGCTCAGCCCATTGGTCACATCCTGTCCCTGTCTCCATCACCTGCTATGTCCCATTACTGTACCTTTTAATTGTGACAATTCCCACAGCCCTGATTACAGTGACAAATCTACCACAGGCTTTTGGCTACCAGAAGGAGGTGCTAAATCTGAGATCTGGTTTGTTGCTCTCACTTGTAATGTTGAGTCGTGTGGCCTCCAGGACTAAAGCCAAACCCTCTGGGTCTCCTGTATCTCTGCCTATACCTCCTCAGCTCCAGAATCCAGCGCCCATGCCTGTCTCCTCTTTCCTGGGATGCCCAGAGCCACTGAGCTGGACTGCCCCAATCCTACTAGTTCTTCCTTCTCACTCAGCTAGGAAAGGGTACCAGGACATCCTGCACTTGGCTCAGGCTGAACATCTAGAGGCCACTCCTCCCTCATTTTTCTCCTGTCTATTCCATCCCATCCACCAGAAAATCTTGATAACTGTGGCTTTGAAATAGGTCTTTCCACGCTGCCACCACCTCAGCCTGAGCCATGTCCTTTCTCGTTGGCATGGCGGTGGCAGTGCCTGTGCCCACTTCAGCCACCGTAGGGCCACTGTCCTGCTCTCCTGCCCCTTCTCATTATTAAAATAGTGGTAAGAGCACTGCTGCTGATCTTAAGGTCCACATATGGGCTAGGCTTTGAGAGCACATGCTGGGCTTCATCACATGCCACTGTTCTCAGCCTCTGTGTCAATGCCTGAGCTCGGGCACCACAGTGTGCCCTCCACCCCTGGTGTCTAGCAATTCCTTTGCAGACATCCCTCCAAAGAATCACCCCCTTCTCTCCAGAGAACCTCAAGGTCAGGGGCACATTCAGAGGCTGTCTCTTTATCTGAAACTTGCAGGGCTGGGTACATACAGATGCTCTGGAAATGCAAGACCACTAAGCAAAAGAGAATGAAAGACCACTAACTTCTTGACCTCCTACCTGCTAGAGGAGCAGTCTGGGCAAATTTCTACTCGGAACACGTGTACTCTGAAACATGCTGGGCATCTTAGGGATAGAAATAAATTCAAAATGATATAAAAGGGGGGCTGGGGATTTAGCTCAGCAGCATAGGTGCCTGCCTTGCAAGCGTGCGGTCGTGAGTTTGATCTCTGGTACAAAAAAAAAAAAGATATAAAAGGAAATCCCCTATGGACCTGGGGAGAAGAGCCTCCTAGGATTGGGTACACATTTTTTCTAACTGACTGGTTCCCCCCAGACTTTTCTTCAATGCCAAATATAAGGAAGAAACACGGTAGAAGCAGCACCATCTAGTGCAGCCACACAGATGCCAGGGCCACAACAGTGATGGCAGGAAGGTCCAGGGGACTACGACCTGGACAGGACTGTGAGTTCCCGCCCTGGGGGAGCCTGTCATCTGGTAGGAAGCTTGGAGGGAGAGGAATGGGCTTGCTGGTTCTGCTTGGCTTGCAATGCCCCCTGGTGGAATGCTGTGCTATAGCAGCTGCCCTGGGAGCAGCCTCAGACTCAATGATGGACGTGCTCAGACTGTCCTCCAACACCCTGCCTCCCGTCAGCTACATATTATCCAGACAAGCCAAAGGTGTCAGCCAAAGGCATATGCAACAGTCCTATTGTCATCACTGTGAGTACGCTGGGCCTTTCAAGCCTGCATTTATTGCTAAATAGCTTCTAATCTGGGGTGGGTCTGCTCAGTGTCCTTCGGTTTCTTTCCCCAAGCACCCTCTATGTGTACAAGGGTGGCCCCCAAACAGTGGTCCTGGAAAGCTGCCTTGACTCTGTGCAGCAGTCTCCTTTACCCGGGGAAGACTGCTTTGCACTAAAACCTCTGGCTGGAAAAATCACTTACCTGACTGGAGTGAAGACACTGATGCCGCTACTGAAGCTCGAGTCACAAGAGCCATCAGGGCCTCCTGGAAGAGGAACAGGAACAGGTGACATGAAAGGTTGGTTGCTCTTTTGAATAAACAAGATCCTAGTTATAAAACCCTCGACCCTCCGCTCCAACTCCCAACACCTTGATTCAGCCTCTTGAAAAGCAACAGGGCTCTGGAGCCCCGAGGACCCAATGCCTGCACACTCTTCCCCAAAACTTTCCGAATGGTACAGCTTGTAAGGTTCTAGGCATGGGGGCCTCGAAGGAGGGGATCACTGTGCTGAGCATGGCTGAGAAATTTCACAAGGGTTTATTGGTTGAAAGGCAATGGATGTTAAATGACTTTTGGATACTTAAGGTCCTCACTCATCAGGGAGTGGAATCAATTCCCAGTTCCCAAAGAATGATGCCACTTCATACCACTAAGGTGGCTAAAACAAAACAAAAACAAAACAACAAGTGTTGGCGTGTATGTGGAGAAACAGAACCCTTTTATACTGCTGGCAAGAGTACAGAATATTTGGGAATTGGTCTAGTAGTTCCTCAAAAGGCTAAACGCAAAGGCATCCATAGGACCAGCGATTCCACTCCTAGATATACACTAAAGAAAAATGAAAGCATATCCACAAGAAGCCTGAAGCATTATCTATAGTTGTCAAAATGTGGAACGACTCAAATGTCTACCAGCTAATGAATAGTAAATGAAGTATTCAGAACTAAAAAAGGAATGAAGCATTCACACATGCCAAAGCAGGAACTTTGAAAACTCCATATAAAGTGAAAGAAGCCCATCACAAAAGACAATATATGATTCTATTTCTAGGCAAGGTCCTGAACAGACAAATGTGTAGAGAGAGGGAGTGGATTAGAGGTTGCTCAATGTGGGGAGGGGATTCTTTTTAGGACACTGAAAATGTTCTAAAGTTGACTGCAATGATTATATAGTTTTATGGATACACAGATGTCGATGAACTGTACAATCTAAATTGGGGGGAATTGTATGGCATGTGAATTATCTCAACAAAAGGATAAAAAAGTGACTCGGGGAAAGGACTGTCACCTGTGCTCTGTCCAAGTCTTTCTCCATGTGGCCAACTCAAAACCTGTCACTAATATTTAACTTACTGCTCCTAGACAGAACAGGATCTATCTGGCATCCACAATGTATTCTTCCCACTTAAGGAATAACCTTAAAATTCCAACCTTTTTCTTTTGGCATCTTTATCTTTATTCTGTGAGTTATAAATGAGAAGTGTGATTATTTATATTGTTACTCAAATAATATTGGCCTTGGCCCCCTCAAAGCTTTAAATTATACAGGTAAAACATATCCTAAAAACCCCAAACAAATCAAGTTTTCAGATAGCGCCATTCCAGGAGTGAACCAGGGTCCTCCTTCCTCTATAGCCATGAGCCCTTTACTTCTGTATTAAATAGAAGAAGTCCACACTGCCACACTGCTTCTAGTCCCAGAGGCAGTGGGGTGCAGGTGGAAGGGATGAAACACTAGGACAAGGGGCTGCGTCTGAGCAGGCGCTGGTCCCCGCAGCCCGGTGTCCCTCTGGTAGGCCAGGGCCCAGGACAGCAGGACGTGCCAGGGATCCAGGCTTTCAGAGGTCACCCTCTGGATTCACAGAAACCCACATATTTACAGATGCCATCACAGGGTGCCAGGAAAGTGGCTGCAATCATTCAGCCCCTGCACTGTCAGTCCTGGTCTCTCCTGTGCTTCCCTCTGCGCAGGGCTCCCAGGGGATTGGGGCTGCCGAGGGCAGGGATCAGACGCACTGCATTTTCTTGGATCCTGCCAAGCTGCCCTCTGGGAAGATTCTACCAATTTACACGCACTTCCAAATGGAAGAGCAGTCATCCCTAGGCCTCACACAGGGATGTTAGTAATCTCTCAAAGGTTTGCCAACTTGATGAGTAAAAAGGAAACTGTGCTTTACTTTCAATGCTCTGCTTCCCGGCTCCATGAACATTTTGTGAGGTCCTTCTGTATTAATTTCTTCCTCGAACACTGGAGATGACACAGCATCTGTGAGTAGGGACTCTCCAGCCCCGCGGTCCGGCTTTGGGCCCTGCCTCCCCTACCAGTTAGCTGTGCGACCTAGGCCAAGTCATTTCACTGCCTTCCATTCTACACCTGCATGACGGGGTAATGACAGTGCCTGCACCATGGCCATGTTATGGCAGTAGGTGACCTGACGCTCGTGAGGCGTTTAATGTGACTCCTGGCACATCCTAAAACACACATCTGTCACGTAGTCATGGACTTTCACCTCCTCTCCTTGGGTTTTCTCCAATTGATTTAAAGGACGTTGGATGTTATCTCTGAAAGTTTTTTTTTGTTGTTATAATGGGCTTTCATTTTAATACAATATATTGGTTTTTTTGCTTTATAACTTTTGCTTGTGGGTCTTGGTTAAGAACTTCTTACCAAGTATTCCTGCTGAGAAATTCTGAACTTGAGCCTGTTTGAATAGCACTATTCACAGGGAAAACGGGACAGACAACTTTGGGACAAATGCTTCTGTTTCTTAAGAAATGAATTTCAAGGAAGGAAAGACTAAAAGTAGAAGGCAATCTGAGGACATACCAATCTACTGCAGAGTGCACAGCCTGCTCCTAACTCAAACGAAGGAAAGACATCTTGAGTCCACAGGGAAGTACAGACCCTGGATGGATATCTGGTAATCTTCAGGATTTAATTTTTATTCCTTCCTAAGGTATAATGACAGCATTATGACAATGCATTATTATTCTCAGGCAGGGTCTCATGATGTAGGCCAAGGACAGCCTTGAACTTACAGCAATCTTCCTGTCTCAGCCTCTTGAGTGCTAGGATGACAGGTACGTGCCATATCGCTCAGCTTATAATTTTTATGAAAGGAACTTTTATCTTGGAGAATCACAGATTTTTATAGATGAACTAGTATGGTCTAGAACTGTGCTTCAAATTAATCTAAGCTGAGAGGGACTTGGACACCTCAGATTGTCACCTTCCCTTGCTATGTGCTGGGCATCTTCCTAGGTGTTTCACGAATTCCTTTAGGTCTCACCATCACTGATAGCAAGGGACACAGGGACACGGAGGGGTTAAGTGACTGGCCTGAAGTCACACAGCTGGTGAGTGCTGAACCAGAGGCAACAGATCCAAAATCTACACTCAAATCACACGAATCACCTTGCCTGTGACAGCGGACTGGGGGGACATGTGCCTAGGAGAGCTGTGGCCTTTAGAAACTGGAAAGGGTAGGGAAATGGGTCCTTTCTGAGGGGACCCAAAGGGAATGCAGCCCTGCCGACCCGTATCAGACTGCAGATCTACAAGAAAACCAGCAGGCTTGAGGGACTGTCACAGCAGCCACAGGAAATGAGTACACTTGCTCTGATTAAAAAGAAAAAGGAAAAATCTGAGCCAGGAGCAGCAGTGTGCACCTGCAATCACAGCTCCTGGGAAGGCTGAGGTGGAACGGTGGCCTGAGCCCAGGGTTCAAGGGCAAACCGTGGTTCAGTGAGAACCTGTCTCCAAAAAAAAAAAAAAAAAAAAAAAAAAAAAGGAAAGAAAAATGTCTCTTGCCTGCACTCCCCTATGAGCAAGCTCTCACCCCATTTCTCTGCTTCTCTTCTTCCCTCCACTCAGAATGCTCTTGTCACGTTATCTCACTGGCTACAGAAGCTGCCTACGGTCACTGGTCACTGATGCCACCACACTGCCAAGTCCAGCACCCTTGGTCCCCGCCCTCCTCACCTGTCAGCAGCCACCAACACAGTGCTACTCCCCTGCCTGGAAAATCTCCGGGTGACTCCCTTCTATGCCTTCGGCTGCTTTTACCCTTCTCTTTAGCTGGCTCTTTGCTCCCATTCCACACCTCACGTGTCCCCAGCCTAGTCCTGGGCCCTCAGCCCCCTGATACACCCGCTCCCTCTGATTCTCACCCAGTCTTACTGCACCAGGGCGCTGAACCCCAGCCTGCTCGCCCCAAGGCACCATTTGTATGTCTATGAGGCATCAGAAACCCAGCACCTTCTAACTCCAAACTGTCTCCCGCAAACCTGCTCCTTGCTTGTTCCTCCCCACCTCAGTAAACGGTCACCTCACCTTCCAGTCACCCCACTGGCAAACCCAGCAAGAGGCCACTTCCCCTAAACCGTCATCTCTCCCGAGTAAAGCGGACTCTCTACAGCATAGGTAGCCGGAGCGAGTCTGTGAAAACAAAGTCTGCCCATGAGTTCCTCTTCTCAAAGCCCGCAGCAGCTGCTGCATCGCCAGCAGACAGCTAGAGTCCATTCAGGGCTGTACAAGCCCACCTCATGAGACCGGCCCATTCACCTCTCCAGGGCTCCTGCCATTCTGAGGAGGACACTGATCTCTTGGCTTTCCCAAAGTACTGCTCCCCACCTCCACCCTGGGGTGCTGCAAGGGTGCCACCCTCTCTTGGAATATTTACTGTCTATGGAACCCCTGCCCTCCTCTGGTCTTTGCTCAAGAGTAACCCTGTCAGTGAGAGGTCCTCTGAAGATTCCTCTCCTGAATACCTTAGCCGCACTCATCATGCCCCTGGAGCTTGAACCCAGGGCCTTTGCACTGAGCTATATCCCCAACCTCTTTTATTTCAAGACCGAGTTTTGCTAAGTCATCACTGTGCTCAGGCTGGGCTTGAACTTGCAATCCTCCTGCCTCTGCCTCCCAGAATGCTGGAATTATAGGTGTGTGCCACCACACCTGGTTTAGCCTTCTCTTTACTTGGGCTTTCCAACAGCATTTATCAGCTAAGAGCTTTCAGAGAAGAAAAACCTTACCGACACCCTAATTACCTCCTAAAATAGATTTTCTTAAATGTTTAAGGCTCTTGACATATGCTGTGAAATGTATGTGCCAGGCTGTTTAACTTGTTTTTTGTGTGCCTTGCCCAGTAGCAACCCTAACCCCCAGACAGTAGCAAAGTCAGTCTGTCTGTCAGCTGTATCTGCCCATCTCCAGCCCCACAGCTTCCCGTGTGCGCCCCCACGCCCCGGCATAGGGCTCCTCCACCTGATAGTCTTCCTTGGAACCCTGCTTATCCCTGGGGACCCCTTCTGGCTGGTGGGGATGGAACTGGCTTCAGTGAGCTGGAAAGCACTCGGCAGCAGTATCAAGAGACTTAAAAGTTTAAGACTTTATCCACAGGAAGTAATTATGAATATAAGATTTTTCTGTAAAACAGTTCTTTTTTAGTAGGGATTATAAGATTAAGATAAGACTAGAAGCAGCTAAATGATTTATAAGGGAGGCTGGTTAAATGAATTATGGCATTATCTACCTAATGTAATGATATAAGTGTTTTACATGAATAGGAAAGCCAGTCTGAAACAGATGGTGAAATTCTACAGTGCATCGCAAACACAAAGCAAAAATATTAATATGTCTAATACAGTATTGGCTAAAAGGGAGAGAGCCAACACATAACGCCCATGGTCTGAAATAACAGTGGTGGAAATAACCCAAATGTCTATCAACCGAGAGTGACTGTGCCCGGCTTCACCAGTCACTCGTCTGTGATCTGCGTGAGCTCCTTGTAGGAAGCTCTGGAGGCTGGGGTCTGTGCACACATGGATCTGACTGGCCCTTACTGCAGTGTCCACTGAAGGTGCTGACAAACGCTGTCCACCCTCACCTTTGCAGATGCATGGGTTCTGTTACATGCACGCCTCGGAGGTCACAGTCTTCCACTGGGAATCCTATTTATGGCCCTGCTCCTCACTTGCCACATGAACTTCTGTCCCCAACCCTCTATGAATCCTCTCTTGGAACCCACGAGGCCCATTAGTGTATAGATGATGCTGGTGATAAGATAACTAGAGTAAAAGCCCTGCACTTGTACCTTATTACATACATTCTTACAGATGCTTTAATTTAATCATTTTCAACTTTATGATATGAAAGCATACCCACCCAAATATTCTGTTTCATACCTTCTGAACAGTGTTCAATAAGTTACACAAAATGGTCAGGATCCCCAGCTTTCTTAACACCAGGGTCTGATTTTCATGGAAGACAATTTTTCCATGAACTGAGGAGGGAGATTTATTTTTTAAAATTTAAATATGTTAGTTTTTGCATTAGATTCTCATAAGGGGTTTGCAGCCTAGATCTCTCCCATGATCACAGCACAGTGGGGTTTAAAAAGTTTCTGTGAGAATCTAATGGCCCAGCTGATCTGGTAAGAGGCAGGGTCCAGATCAAGCAGACTATGATATTTGGTAGGTTAAGTTTATTAAATGCATTTTTTTTTCTTTTTGTCTTTTTGATACAGGGTCTTGCCATGCAGTTCAGGCTGGCTTTGAGCTTACTTTATAGCGCAGGCTGGTCTCAAATTTGCAACAGTCCTCATGTCTCAGCCTCCTAATTGCTGGGATTACAGGTGTGTACCACTATACTGGCTCATATTAAATGCAATTTTGACTTAGGATATTTTGAAGTCATGATGTAATTATTAGGACACAACCCTATATGGGACCCCCACATTGAAACAATACTAAAGCACCTATGATGACTGCCACATGCCATACATGTAAATAAATGGTCTGAAACTCTCAATCATACTACAGGCTGTGTTACTATTGTTACCTTCCTAAACAAAAAGGAACCTGAGCCTCAGAAAGGCCAAGCAGCTGTCCAAAGGTAACAGACATGAAGCGAGCAGAGCCAGGACTCAGGTATGTTGTCTGAACCCCAGAATTTCTGCTGTGACAACTGAGACAATCAGGGGGCGTGATGCAGGGTGGGTGGGCTGGACACTTGAAGTGCTGTAAGAACTCAGAATCAGGGAAAGGAGCCTGCACTATGGCTCCTCTTGAATGGCTGGGCCAAGGTGAGGCTGCGGCAGGTGGAGAGGGCTGGGTCAGTGGGCACAGAGGAGGGGCTACCCTGACTGCAGGCCTGTGCTTAGGAAGGAGAAGCTCTGCAGCGTATGTGTGTGTGTGGGTGTGTATGTGCACAGATGCACACATAGAGGGCTTTGCCCAGAGGTGTGCCGTGAAGACTATGGTACTGTAGCTGCATTGGAACAGACTTGAGCCCAGTAGAGACACATTAACAGAGCAGGAGGTTGCTGGAGCAGCCAGGTGGAGCAGCAGGACGAGAGAGGGAGGCTGGGATGAGCTTGCCCACTGGATAGCTACATCCTCTCCGCCTCTTGGCTTGCTGGGACTCTCATCTTGATAAAAGTCTGGAGATTAGTTACAAGCTGAGCAGGGTTGACAGCTGATGTGAAGCTGTCAAATTAGCTGTTGCCATCTCTGGGAACTACTATAAAGAGTGCTTTTCATCGCTGAAATGCTGTTTATGAGGCAGTAAAATCCAGAGCCAAGGTGCCTGAATGTATCCTGGTTTAGGGTAATATTCTCCTGGGTAGGCAGCTGCTTAAAGAGTGTTATGAAAACTATTTAAGAGGGAAAAGAAGTTGCATTGGCCGGGAATCGAACCCGGGCCTCCCGCGTGGCAGGCGAAAATTCTACCACTGAACCACCAATGCTCCAGCTCATACAGACTGTGTCAGTGGCTGCCATGACCCACAGAATGGAGCAGTTAGTTCCTGCCCAGAGAGCTTGGCTGCTGCCACATAAGCAGACAGGGTGGGGAAGGGCTGTCAGCTCCACTTCAGGGAAAGAGGCAAGACTCGTTTATCGTTTTTTTCTTTACTAGGCAACAATTCACGTAACACTTCACTGAATACAATCTTACATGTTAAAGTGTACACTTGAGGGGTTGTTAATGTATTCACAAAACCACGCATCCCATCATCATGACTTAATTCGACTATTTCATCACTCCCAAAAGAAACCAGGCTTTGATAGCAGTCAGTCTCAGTGCCCTTTTCTCCCTCGGTCCAGGTGGTCACTGTTCTACTTTGTGACTGAATGAAGACGTGCTAACTTTCATGTCAAGTCAAAAAACAAAGCAAAGCAAAACAAAACAAAACAAAACAAAACAAAGCAATGAAAACCCAAAACAATCCATCATCAAACCTCCCCAAAAGCAAGATGTATAACTCTTTACAAGGCATGATTTTAATTATCTATTAAAAACTTTAAAATGTGTCAAATTTTGATACTGACTGTCTTTAGTAGGCCGATCTTTGTAGTTTTCCCTACTCTGCAAATTTTCAGAAACAAGAATTCGAAAGCAAAGAGAAAACCTAATACTCACATAGCAGTAAAAGTTTACAAACTATCAAAGTATGTCTAGTCTTAAGATTCTTCTAGTTTTTTCCTAAGAAAGCCCTTTGAAAGGTCTGCATTCATTTCTCTCTCCAAGTTTTTCTTCACTTAGAGCTGCCAAAATAAGCATGCATTGGCCGGGAATCGAACCCGGGCCTCCCGCGTGGCAGGCGAGAATTCTACCACTGAACCACCAATGCTCCAGCTGTGTATTACTCTGCCTCCAGCTGTTTTGCCACTGCTGTGGTGCTGGCACAGCTGTAACTTGACACCCAAGACAGGTCCAATAAGGAATGCTGCTCAGTTCCACCAGCCAAACCCAGAGGGGAGGCCACAGCCTGACATTCTGCTCTGATGTTCAAGAGAGATCCGTGAAGGGCAACAGGAGACCAGGCTCAAGCAGCTCTTGGGCCCCTGGATCAGGTTCTAGCCCTACTCTGTCATCCTTTAGGACTTGAGTAGAGTGTGCACCAGTTTACTCTGGCTGGTTCTACACAAGAGCAGGACATTAGCTGAAAGCTGATCAGTGACTTCTCAGTCGCAAAACAGGGGGCCAAAGAAATATGAAAATGTCACGACTCCTGCTAACAGAGATGAGCCCCAGGCTTCAGTCAGGATAAAAATGGTTTTCTTTTTCTTTTCTGAGACAGGTCTTGCTATGTTGTTCAGGCTGGCCGTGAACTCATTATGTAACCCAGGCAGGTCTCAAAATTGTGATCCTCCTGTCTCAATCTCTTGAGTGCTGAGATTATAGGCACATTGGTGCCACACCAGGAAAAACAAAAAACAAAAAACAAAAAAACAACCCCCCCCAAAACAATTTTCCTTCCTTCTTTTTTCTTTAAAGACACAGTGGAATTCTGAGGTGATGAAGTAGCCTCCTTAACCCTCTCTCCCTGAGAATGACTCCTATGGTAGAGGCAGCAGAACGGCTGGATGGCAACAGACAAGAATCAAATGGTACAGCCTGGTTCCCTGCCGTGCTCTGAAGCCATGATTTATTGTAGCTGAGCCCAGAGGGAGATTCACGGCTTTGAGCAGTAAGCGTTTGGGGGAAGATCACCTGGGTTCCAATCCCAACACCACTATTTATTGGCCACCAGAGCCTGCAGCATGGGGATAGTAACAGTTCCCACTTCACTGGCAGTGGCCAGAATGATGAGGTGGCATATGTAAGGGAGGCTGTGAGGGCGGGGGAGCAGTGGAGTCTACTCACCACTGGCTGCCCCAGCCTGCTTTGCCACTGAGTCCTTGGGGTTGGGTTCGCTCTGCCTCTGTACTGCTGGCTTCAGCTCATCTGGCTCGTCATCCTCAGGGGTGACCAGCTTCATCAGGCTCTGGTTGCACACATTGGCCACCTCCTTGATGCCTGTGGCACTGATGTAAGGAGCAGGAGTCCTTCCTGAACCGGAGGCCCCTGACCTTCCTGGTCAGGGGATTAGTCCTCCTCAGAAGCCATGTCAGTCCAACCTGAGTCCCTGGTCTCCTTGCCACTCTGGTAGCCATGAGATGCCCTTCCTGGTGGTCTCCCCCCTCAACAGGGTCTCCCCACCCAAGGTGCAGCAGTATGGGCTCAGAAAGGCAGAATCTGGCACCCAGGAGAGCTGCTCCTCATTTGCAAGTAACAGGTGAGGACCAGGGTCAGTCGGCATTAATTCTGTGTCCCTGACTCTCCCTGTCCATGTTCAGCTCCACCTGTCCCCTAGAGCACTATCTAGAGTGATGGATGGAAGGGAGCCCCCTTTCCAGAGCCCTCCACTTCATGCCCCTCTTCGGGGCTGCCCTTGCTCCTTCTCTCCTGAGGGAAGGATACTTTTCTTGCGGTCGTCGTAGGCCAGGCAGGGCAGGACAGCGGTCAGGATCCCAGAGGAATAGGGCAGCATCACCCGGCCAGCCAGCTGGATGAACTCCCGCATCCAGCACATGGCTGTCAGCTGGATCAGGTCATCTGGAAGGGGAATCAGTGGATCTGGGGGAGGGGGTCAGCACACACAGCTGGAGAGCTCCCTCCCACTGCAGATAAGGATGGGATAGGGGACTGCGGGAACACAGGGGTTTCACTGCTTCTGGCCTCATTAACACTCCCTTACTGGGGTGCTCTGCCTTCCAAAGTCCCGTCTGGATAGCAGGTTGGAAGGTAGCGAGCGTCCTGTGCTCTACCCTCCCTGGGTCCGTGCCTCTCTGCAATGCGACTTCGCGTCTCCTTTCATCAAAGGAGTGGGGTCTATTTTCCTGCCCTTGAATCAGGACGGGCCTTGGCACTCTGGCCAGTATCAGGTGGTAACAATGATGGTGTGCTGGTTCTAGCCTAAGTCTCAAGGGACCTTGCCCACTTCTGTCCCTCTTGGAATCCCGCTGAAGTCGCCTTGCTGATGAGAGGTCTGGACCAGCTGCCCCACTAGCCAGTGGACAGACAGCCAACTGCCAGACACAAGCGAGGCTGTCCCAGCCCACCCAACTCCACACCTTGCAGCTGACTGTAGGCGCAGTACCAGGGGACCTAACCATCCAGCTGACTTACAGACTCAGGGCCAATGACAGGTAGCTGTTTTTTTTTTTTTTTTTTTTTTTAAATAAAGCAACTGTACTTCACTGTGGCTTGATAAAGTAAGCTAATGGATACATGATCTTCCACGCACCACTCCAATTCTCAGTGTCGAGGGCAAGCTTGCAGTGAGAAGTTTCCACCAAGGGAAACGGCTTCCATGTCCACAGGACTCCTTCTCTCCCCAAGGCCCATCACTCTATTGCTTCTGGGCTCCAGTGTCACACCAGGACACCATCCTACCTTCACTGACACTGAGCTGTGACAGGGGTGGGAGCAGCCCAAGTGTGGCCTTCGCACTCACCTGTGGTCTGGCAGTGGATCACCAGGATGTTGGCCATCTCAGCAAACTTCACGCTGGAAGGGTTCTTCTTAATTTCTTTCAAGAATTCTCCAAGAACCACCTCACACCTACCAGTGAGAAACAGAGTGGGAAACAGCCCATGTCAGCCGGGGCTGAGGATGCCCCAGGCAGTGCCCACTGCTGCCCTAAGTCAGCCACCTGGGGAGTGGATGTCATGCAGAGCTGGGGCTGAGGGCTGAGGAGCTCTCAGCTCCTGGAGCAGGAAGCATAGAAGCAGAAGAAAAGGGCGAGTTTCATGCTTTTTTGCTGCTGTGGATGCGGCATGGGTGGGGCACAGGGTAAGCATGCACCATCAGGGCTCTCAAGGCTGGCCATCCTTCCCTCTACTCACATTTTCCGAATCTCTTTGCCATTGTCACCTAGGATCTGGAAGAGTCCGTCCAGGATCTCAGGCAGGTAATCCAGCAGGTTAATGTCTGGCACGGACTCCAGAACCAGGATCTGACCCAGGGGAAGCAGCGGGAGGGAGCGTTAGCTCAGGCCTAGGGCTTCCTCTCCGTACCACTCCCCTAAGGCCCTGGCAGGGAAGGGGTCCCTGTGTAAGTGGTGTCACAGCACTGCTGATGTCCATGGGGAGGGTCCCTGCAGTGATCACGTTCACTGTATCCCTTTAGGAAGGGACTGGATGGGCTTTAGGGACAAAGGTGGATCAGGTGTTTCAGGACTGTCAGCAGCCAGTGGGCACTAGAAGATAATGGGGAAGCCTCTCGCAGCAGAAAGAACCGCCCAAGATGTGCCCAGGAGTAGTGTGCCTCCACCAGAGAGCCTCTGGGGCTGGAGAAGCCCTGGCAGGGCAGGACCTTACCCAGGAGATGATGAACTGCCGTGCGTACTGGTTGTTGGAGTAAATTCTCTCCCGCAACAAGGGGATGAAGCCCACCAGGTCGAACTTGTTGCTCTCCGTCACAATGTCCTGGGGAGCAGATGGAGGTGAGCTGCTGGCAGCCAGAGCGAGGACTGCCCGATCTGCTAAGTTTTGGCTCTGGGATGGCTCCAGGGGCCAGGAAACTAAGTCGGGAAATGGACAAGCCTGAGCTAGGTGGGACAATACCCTGGAAAATCCATCCTGTCACAAGCCAAAGGACAGGCAGAAAGCATCAACTGAGAGCAGGAATCAAGGCCAACAGAGCTAGTCGGATGGCAAAACCCAGTCCCTGGACTGAGAACTGTCACTGGAAGGGTGGTGTGCGGGGTGAACTCCTTTGCTCTGCATGAGGGCATCTATGGGGATGGTGCAGCTCTAGACATTTGTCACAGAGATGTACACCAAACAGTAAACTTTAGTGTATAACAACTTAAAAACTTAAATTAGGAAGAATACCCCCAACGATAGAATCTCTAAGATGAAAAGACAGGAGAAAGAGCTTCTAAAAGTAGAAGTGGGGTCAGAGGATAAATACCTTTAAAAGGCGGTCTAGGAGCTCAGATCCACTTTTCACATTGGGGTCTGGGTCAGCAGCCAACTATGAGGCCCAGAAACAGGAGAGAAACGAGGCAACGGTCACTGTCAACGGTAAGCCAAGGGACCTACTGTAAACTCAGGCAAGACCACGGTGCGGCTCAGAACACCAAGGGGCTCCTCTTAGTGAGGGAAGCTGAGACAGGAAGGGAAGCGGGGAGAGAAACGAACCGGGCTTGGGAAGCGGGTCGGTGGGGCTCCCGCCCTGTTAAGCGGGCCTGGGAGCACTTCTGCATGCCGCTCTGACCAATTCAGGTGGCCGCGCCCCTTGGCCTTTCCACCTTAGGATGCCGGGTGCCCCTCAGCCCTGGGGGGAGCGTGCAGGGCAGCCGTGAGGCTGATACCAGTGGGCCACAGGCTTCTCTGTGCTGCTCGACAGGGCAGCCCACCAGGCTGCGAGACGGGCAGGACTCCAAAGCCGTTACAGGTGCCACTTTTTCTAGAGCACTAGGAAGCCAGAAGCATCCCTGCCCTCCTCCTCACAGGGGAAATGCAGCTGCACAGTGGACACCACCTGTCAGGAAGTTAGCACTGCTCGGATTCTTGGTTTTTCCCTTTCAATGTGTGGCAGACTGATATTTTTGTAAAGTGCAATAAAAGAGAATTAATGGAGGAATGAAAACGTATTAATACAAGCTCATCTTAAAAATGATCTGATTCATTAAACAACACGTATTCCACACGTGGTAAGCCACGTGCTTATCTGTTAATGTGGGCAGAGGGCCCTGAGCACACAAGGTCCCAGGAGGTCAAGCGAGGTGGGTGGCCGAGCTCAGCTCAGCCAGGACAGTCACCTTACTCAGCCCGTCGAAGAGAACGTTGAAGTGGGGCAGCACGGCGCCGCGGGCCACCTTGACGATGTTGTAGAGGGCCTCGCAGGCGTAGTAGCGCAGCCTGCTGTCCGCGTCATTGAAGCATGTCAGCACCGGCTCGATCAGCTCCTTCAGGTAAAGCCCCGAGTCCTGCGACAGGGCAGGAGAAGGCAGGTCAGCAACGGGCTAACCTGGCCTCCCAGCCTGCAGGGCCAGTGACATCCCGGCCGCCCCTGGAGAAGCCTGGACCTCTGAAGGCAGGGTGGGCTCAAAGACCCTTCCCAAGTCAGCCTTCCGAGGCAGGAGAGGGGACACAGCTGCAAGGCCGCAAAGCCTTGGTCTGAAGTGTGGAAAGACTGATGATAAAATACAGGTCTGCAATGCTCTGCTGGGCCTCGGGAGGGCGGGATCTGCAGGGCTTGGTCAGAGCGAAGGTCGGCACCGGCGTGTCTGCCCCTCAGAAGGCCCACCTTGCCCAGTGCAATGGAGCAGGCGGCCAGGCCGATGAGGCCCCCCTTCCGGCTGTGGGGGTGCTGGGACAGGGCGAACTCTTGAGACAGGGTCTGGATCACATGCTTGATTTGCACGGTGTTGTTCTGGGCCACGAACTCCCGCACCAGCCTGGAGAGAGAGGAGACAGGGGGCTTTGGGGTGGGTGCAGCCAGGTGACGTGCGCTCCGGAGCGGGGAGGAGGGAGCTGGAACTAGGAGGGCCTATGACTTGTTTAGAAAGAGGAATCAGGGAGTCAGCTTCCCGGGGCAGGTCCTCTCAGTTCTGCTGTTGGTTGGGTTGTAGCTGCTTCTCTACTCTGGTCTCAGTTTCCTTCTGTGTATAACAGAATAAAAACAGTGGTACTACCCCTCTCCCAGGATTCTGAGAGGATACAAAGCAGCCGCTCACTGGGGACCAAACTTACAACGTGTCATCTATCAGTCAATCAACTATCTGGTGGATGCTTGCTCAAGTTTACATTCCTGAATCCGGGGCATCCTCTGGCTCTGCACCCTCTAGTCAGCTGTTGTTGCCATCATGAAATATCTGTAGGCTACTTATGAAGAAAAAAGTTTATTTAGCTCATAGTTTCAGAGGCTCAAGGGCACTGCACCTGCACTGACTTAGTTCTGATGAGGGCCTCTTTTGGCTGTGTCACCTCACGGCTGTGGTGAGGGTAGGAACATGTACAGGAGGAAGCAGTGACCTCTCCGAACAGGGACAGGCTCAGCTTAAATAATAACCCTCTGGAAAAGCTCCCAAGGGAGCACAGAAGAATGACCTGAAACCCCCAGTGACCCCCGATGACCTAAGGCCTGTAAGAGGTGGGCCCATTTGCCAACGTCGTATTTCCCACACGTGAATCTGTGGGAGGACACACAGCATCCACACTCCAGCACAGGGGAGCTCAAGCTCAGGGAAGTGCTGGCCTGTGCAGAGCGCTGAAAAGATGTGGCATGTTCAGGGAAGTACAAGGAGCCTGGTGCATGGAAGGACACAGACCAGACTGTCAAGACAAGATGGTCCGCTGGCAGTTCTCCAGCAACGGAGAGGCAAGCTCGACCTGTGCTCTCCTTAGATACCACTGGCAGCAGCGTGGAGGGCTGGGCAGGGAGCTGGTGTGGCAACAGGAAACTGAGGCCAAGGAAGAAACTGCTCTGTGCATCGCAGCTATCATGGTAAAGAGAACTGGAAACACAGTTAGGGCCACGGAAAGAGCAGGGAGATCATTTCTAGAAGGAAACAGAAGCGCACTGGTAGCACCGGAGTATGAGCGGGGAGGAAGGGTGGATGTGGCCTCTAAGTTAGCAACACCCTGCGGGGAGGACGTGCAGGTGGGCGTGTGCATCGCGGTGAGAGCCTCCCAGGGCAGTGTGGAGGGGCCGAGGGAGGGAAGCTCCCGCAAAGCCAGAGAGCTCTCACAGCCTCCTGGGCACCAAGGTCAATCTGCAGCGAGAAGCGCTTCACCAGATCGCTGGTAGGGGAGCTACAGCTGGGGTGGGCAGGGAAGTCCTCAGAAGCGGAACTTGAGTAGCTCTCAGAGGTGTGAGCAAAGGCAAGCCAGCCCTGTCTGGGGCCCGGAGGACAGAAGAACGCTGGGAAAGAGACAGAATGGGCTGCCTGGGGGAAGTCTGCCATGTCCAATTAGGAGAAATGGATTTCCCATCATAACAGGGAAGCCTCTGATGGATTTTGAGAAATATAGGAAAGAAGTCCTTAGAAGCCTAGGGAGGCTTGTGACAGGTGTGGGGGTGCATACTTGTAATCTCAGCATTCTGGGAGGCTGAGGAAGGAGATCTGCAATTTAGAGCCCAGCAACTTGCAACTTAGTGAAACTCTGTCTCAAAATAAAAAAGGATTGGGGGTGTAGCTCAGGCAAAAGCCCTATATTCAATCTCCAGTACAGTAAGTGAGGGGCGGGCAGCCAGGGGTGTTTGTGAAGTGGGAGAGGCAGGGGCACCTCGAGATCAGGGACTTTTCAAAGCAACCGCCTGTTCTCTCTTACCCTCTGTATCCAGTCACGGCAGGTACACTGCTCATCTGCTGCATAAATGCGAGCTCCAATTACAATAAAGAATTTTAAGGATGGTCATGTCCAAAAGGTCCCTGTGTGGTTCCATCTTCATGTTAGGAACTTTCTTTTTTTGTGGTGCTGGGGACTGAACCCAGGGTCTTATGCATGTTAGACAAATCCTCTACCACCAAGCTATATCCTTAGTCCCCCAAATGTTAGATATGTCTAATAAATAGTGCCGTTCAAAAAACATGCATGCTGTCTTGTGAGACAGTGACCACTCCCGAAGAGATTATTCAGATACAGAGTGGACAATGGTTTAAGGACTCAGTCCAGCACATGTATGGGCCTGTGACATGCCAGGCATGGTTCACACAGGAGAGGACAAAACAGGGCTGCTCTGAGCTGGTGATGTTGGAGTAGGGTGGTACTGCAGGAAGGTGCTGTACAGGTGCTACAAGGTGCCGCTTGCTCTGATCTCAGGGGCTGAGAGTGTCTATGACTCAAGTGCGTCCAGCTGGAAGTTGAATGCCATTTACAGGGCCCAGCTCCTACAGCAGCAGCAGAAGGCAAGAATGGATGTACATAAAATTATTTGCTTCCCGAATTGGACAGATCAGCCAGGTGAAACAGTGATCCTGTCTGGGTAGTTACAGGGACAGCTCTGTGAGGAGAGCCCTGCAGATGGTGCAGAAAACAGCTGGAGCATTGGTGGTTCAGTGGTAGAATTCTCGCCTGCCACGCGGGAGGCCCGGGTTCGATTCCCGGCCAATGCAATGGTGCTTTTCATCTTTTCCTGATCAATCCCCTCAGAGAGATCCTATGGGAGGAGCTGGTCTCCTCAACCAAGGAGAGACGGCAAATCTGAGACCACGCTTTCCTGCCACTGGGCTTTCCAGAGAAGCTGTGGGAGTTTGGCCTTCTCCTCTGCACCTGGAAGGGAACTCCTGCTTCACTTCCATGAGTCCTGGCCTGTGGCCAGCAAGACGCTCATGTGAAACCTGAGAATAGTGGCACAGCTCCAAAGAAAGGGAATGAGATGGGAGGACCCAAACTTAAGAGGACGAGTCACACCATGTTTCAGCACTTTGCTAAAGGAAGATTTGAGCTACAATTTTTGTCTTGAGGCCTGAGGGCAAATCAACCTCTTACACACAGGCACACACTCCCTTCTGCTCCCTCAGGCTCTGGAGCTCTGCTTCCTGCTCTTGCTGCTGTGCTGATGTGGCAGCATCACAGACTAGTAACCTGACACTGCATGTATCTGAGGAGGCCTAGGAATGGGGATAAAGGGAGGTGCACACACCTCCCAACATGGAGAGCATTGGTGGTTCAGTGGTAGAATTCTCGCCTGCCACGCGGGAGGCCCGGGTTCGATTCCGGCCAATGCATGAGTGAACTTTTCTTTAAATTCTAAAAGAATGAATTTGGGACTTCACACTGCCTAACACGTTTGTGAATCTGGTTAGAGAACTGTGAATGGCTTTTTTTTTTAAACTTGAATTTTAAATGCTTTTGATGAAAAACACTCAGTTTCCTAAATTCTACAAGGATCTAGAATGTCCTTGTTCTGGAAGAATCTGGGATATGGGGAAAAACAGTAGCCCACTGTGAACAGCTATGTCTCTCCACTCCTGCCCAGGTAGCCTTCCTAGGAAGCCAAGCCCTGCTTCTGCGGGTACCAGTCACAGCACTACCCAGAGAGAAAGCAGGGACATCCTATAGGCTTGGCCAGGATGCCCAAGGACAGCTAGCTTCCATGTGGCACTAGCATCCCTGGCACCAGCTCCTCTCCTGCTTCCAGTTTCAGGTTGCAAACATTCACTATGCAACTGGGAAGCACATCCTCCGAGGCAACACTGACAGCTACCTACTGGATGTGCTCCTGGGTCTTGGACTCTCAAGTGAAATAGGGGAGTCCGTGTGGTGAGAAGAGTGCTAGGTGAGGGCGGGCCAGGAGAAGACAGCACAGCCAGCAGCTGCTGGGAGGGAATGCAGTGTGGCCTCATGAGGGTGAGCACTGGAAAGGGTTCTGAAGGATGAGTAGGTGTTTCAGTGTGTTCGGGGGTAACCCTGCAAAGGCTGAGGCAGGAGGGCCAGCGTGTGGTTTGGTAGGAGCCAAGGCCAATGGTAGAGGAGACCCTGAATGATTGGGCAAGCAACTGGCATCTCATGCTGGGTGGCAGTGAGGAGCTACACAAGGCATTAGCAGGAGACACAATACATTTTTGAAGGTGTGATCTTGGGTGGGGGTGACATGAACCTAAACAGCACTGGAAGACCACATGCCTTCCTGGGACAGAGGAAGGCATGTGGTCCTGATGGCAGAGTGACAAGTATGTGGAGTCTAGAAAAGAGAACATGGGAAGCTGGGGGGCACCCAAATCCTAGCAGGGCTTGATTCTAGCCCCCAGGCCACTACACTGATGACAGCCCAGGTCCTGCAGAGCCTTACATTAAGGGCAGAACATTCTTTATCTCCAGGAAAGCAAGTGTCAGGGAGACAAACAATAGTTCCTCTGGAGGGGAAATGACACGAACAAGTTCTCACCAATATCACCAACCCAGATGGCACTAGGCCCAGCCTGGGATCACTCCTTGAGCCACAAGCAGGAAGAATCATTTCATTAATCAAGCCCCTCCTTCTCAGCTGAAATGCTGGGCAGTAAAACCAGGGCCAGGAGACCTCTCCAGTCTGCCTGCCCAGGTCCCCAGGAGCTGCCTTCTCAGGAGCCCCTGCTCACCATACTCTGTCCGCACTTCTTGTTGGCACCTTCTGGAAGCCCTCGCTTCTCTCGGCCTACAAAGCCCAGCAAGGGCTGCTCCCTGCTTGTCTCAACTGTCCCATGAAGTGAGCACATCTCCAAACCCAGAAGCACTCAGTGATCCCTCATTCTGTGCGGACCAAGGTGCTGTTCCTTGTCCCCAGTTAAATTATTTCTGCCTCCACAATTCCTTGATGGGGCCCTTAAGGACAATGCCATACTTCTGGGAGACAGCCTCTCCTGGTCTAGTGCTGTGTGCATGATAGGTGGGGATCAGTAATATCTGCCAGTGGATTGAATCTGGAGGCTGGCAGAGCTGACAGGTGGCACAAGCTACAGGGCAAACACTG